TGTTTATCACACTTCACTGGGCCACAGAAAGCTGGATGAATTCTGTTTCATCTCTGGTAGAATATATTCTTGACACTTTCACTCTTATGGATATTGATTAATTTAATCTGGAAGCAGCTGAAATTACTCTGTTCTTTTGACTGGTCTCATTTATGAGAGGCCTATGAAATTATCAAAACATCATAAATAGTTAAAGCAATTTAGGCTGACATTCAGTGGTATGTTGATGGAAAGCCAAATTCTGGCAGTACTGCTGTTGAACCATGTGTGGCTGTATTGTTTCCCAGTGTGTGGGACATGGGAGCTACACCGTGCTCTGCAGTGCACATACACTCTGTGGTGTATCCCTGAGAGCTGCAGTGCTGCCTCTTGCTGTCATTTCACCTCAGAGCTCTGACTGCTTTTCTGCCTTTGGCTCAAGTAAGGCTGCATTGAATCTGACAGAAGAGGGGATGGTCCCTGGGGTAGAACAAGGTCATTGTAAGAAACTGCACTCTGGATGAGGACTGTCTTGTACAAAGGGCCTGTGGTTTTTAGTGTCCAACCAAAAGGCAAGTAAGGAACACTGGTATTTGAAAGACTGTTGCATATTAAGAAAATCAATTGATTTCATATTGAAAATCCATTATTTTCCTGACAGCTGGAGGAGCAGGAAGGGGAATAAGCATTACAACAGCTACTGTGAACACTCACCTAAGAGCTTCTGAAGGCCTAGCATCCCTGACTGGCTGTGTCAGACTTAGCAAGAAATTTATGTATAGTAAGGAGTTTCAGCAATATATGATTTCTCTGCAGAAGGCAAAGGAAATACTTTGGGAAGCCCTGTGTTAACTTAGGTGTGTATTTCATTAAAATGCTGTGAAATTCAGCACTCTACTAAGTGCTTTTGTGCCTTATTTTGCATAGCTTGAGCTGATAGAAAGCTTGAGTTAAGGTATGGAAATACAGAGTATGTTTCAAGGAAAAAAAATGAAAGGAATTTTGTAGGAAGTTGTAATTCATTGTATTCTATCAGAAAATGCAGAAGTGCTATGCCTCAAGCATGTTACTTGTTTTTTCTGTTACATATCCTGCCTTTGGAAGAAGAGTGGTTCAGTTTATAACAAGCCTTTCTTCTAGAGCTTCAATCCATTGTCTTTCACTGCCCTTGTGAGGAACTTGGTCACCTGCCTTCTCATCCAAAGTCACCAAGAGATCATAGACCAGTCAGGAGGTCCTTTTGCTGTAGAAGGGTACCTAAAAAGCACATATTCCCTGCTTTACTTTGCATTTCGCCTTTCAGCATAAAGTAGCGTTAAAGTAAGAATGTTCTGTGGAAAACCATTAATTATTCACATGTCATTTTCTTCAAAATTAAGAGGCTGCAAATTTTGACAGATTCTATGATTTTTACAAACATTGCCTCCATAGTGAATTTGCTAACCAAAAAATGTGCTAAAATTGATGTCTCAGAACTTTTTGTATCAAAACCAATTTTGTCAGTGTTTTTTATCCTTTTGTCCTCTAGCATTTTAGAACTTTTTTTTTTTTTTTTTTTTTTAGGTTTTAAAACTTCCTTTTTGCAAATACCTCTTCATGTAGACTTTATTTTCTCTTGTGGAAAAGATTATTACATCTTGATGTAGGGGGGGTTGCATTTTAACTGTCACAGCTCAAAACTGTCTTGATCTGAATTAATCAAAAGTGAGTACTGTCTAAAATTGACAGTAGATGTAATTTGGATTGTAAGGTAGGATTTGGGGTTTAAAATTTTCATGAAGATGACATAGATTTTTGTTGTAAAATACACCGATTTTCCTTCACACCTGCACTGCAATTTTTAGAGTTCTGTATAATATTTCTTGTATTAGCACTTGCTTAAATGTTAGACTGTATGTGTTTTAGTATTACAGCTTGATTCTGCAATATTGCATTGATCAGGATGATCAGATAATTTGCAAACTACTCATTCATTCAGCCTGGTCCTAGCCTCTCAGTTTGTTGGGAATTGTTCTTGGTTATTTCATGTTCTGGTTTTTGTGGTTTAATATGATTAAAGAGCTGTAAGTTGGAGGTCTCATATTAATCTTACTATTTCCAAATATTAGGAAAATTAAGGTCTATTACAATGAGTGATTTTTGATTTAAAATTTATATCTAACATCATCTACTAAAAACATACAGTTTTCCTTTTTTTTTTTTTTTACTTAGGAGAGAGAAATGTACAGGTCTTGTGGATGTGTGCTACAAGTCTCTTTGTACAGCTTTATTTAAGCAAAGTTCAGTGCTGATTCAGAAATCTGCAATGTCTGGTCTCATTGCAGAATCAATCTTTCCCAAAGCAGTACGCCTTAATTTCTTTGACATGTTTCCTCCTCGGTGTTTTCCTGTTGGCTTCTGCTACCAGACAAGTCCCTGGGATTGCAGGTGTGTTCCAGTGGGGCCAGCACAGCTGAGAGCAGCAGAGGCCCTTTGCCATCTCCCTGTCCCTCTGACCTCTGCATCTCCTCCCACATCTTGTCAGTAACAAGCCTGGTACTGTCCCAGTCCCCCTCCACATCTATTGCAAAGCTCTGCCAGTGAGCCCTGCTACTTCCTGAGCAGACTCTCCTCCCTCACCAAGGATGAATCCCATCTGATGTCAGCAGGCCTGGTGCTGCACAGGCAATGGCATTGTCAGACACCCCAAAATTCCAAAATTTTAGCAGTGACACCAACCATGCACTAATAGACTCAGCCCATCTGTTTCTTCCAGTGTTGTTGCCTTCAACTGGAAGTACAGAGGAGAATGTAACTTGTGCCCCAGATCCCCCACAGTGATGCAACAAAGAGCACCTTCTTCCAAACACCAAACCCACTTATCAGTGTGAGTTTTTAAACCACAGGAACGGCTTAACTCACACTGGTAAATATATTAAAAATTTAATGTTTATACACTTTTATCACCACAAACAACTCTTCAGGAAACAACATACTAGAAAATGAGCTCATTTTCTGCAGCCACTTACATACTTTTCTAATTACAAAAGACTCCACAAATATGTTACAGTAGATTTTTTTTCTTTTCCTGCAGGAGCCCAGAAATGTGATTAGCTCATTACCACATAAAAGAGTTCAGTATCTCAAAAGTCTTGCTACAAAATTTTCTTGTATGAATCCAATTTAATAAGCACCAACCATTAATGGACTGTGTCAAAGACACAAAGTTGTATCCAGGAGGAGGTAAGGGAAAAAGAATTTCCTAATTTCTCAATAATTTGCTAATTAGTGCATTCTTTCTAACTTGTAATTGCCCATGGGCTTAAAGCAATTGCAGAAAAAGGGGCTAATTCTTGTATAATTCTAAACAGCTACTTGAGATAGGTATTAATTTATGTCTGTATCTCAAATTATACCCTCTGTCCTTGCATACCTTGCTGCAGAAATGAGATCAAGACATCCAACATGTTTGTAAAGTGATTTGAAATGTGTTTGACATAGTAAGCCTAAGCAGTTTGATGTCAGAGCCCAAAAATGGAGAAGAGCTGCCTCTAATAGAGAATATCTAAACTCTGAGATTACAAGTGTGGTTTGGGACGAGTGTGTGTTACAATGCTGTGATACACTGCACTTGCTGGCAAGAGGCTGCTCCTGAGCACACAGCTCTGCTCCTGCATCCAAGTGAGCTGCAGGAATACAATTTTGTTTGTGTAACTGCAGCTCTCCTAGTCACTTTTGCCATACCTGGTATGAGGCACGAGGCTCATAAACTTTTTGCCTGTTGTTCAGAAGTCTGCCCAGAAACAAGGGCATAGTGCTGATGTGAGAAGGTGCTGTGCAGAAATGGTAACTGCACAATTATTGGTCAGAGGGGCGTGTGTGGAGAACAAACATCAACCTTGGCTTCACTCTGTGAGAAGCTTGTTGTATTGTCGTTCTCTTAGGCTGACTCTGGATTTCACAACATCACAGGTACGTACTCAGCTGCAGGCAGGGACTCCTAGGTGCACTTACCAGCACGCAAACTCCTGCAGAATCCTGGCAATGAAGGAGATAAATCATGTAAAGAACAAGAACAACCTGAGGGGACAACCACTGGGATCCTACTGGTTTGTAAATCATGGAGATTTCAGTGATAGGTGAGGCAGGGAATTTGAGGCTGAATCTGGCCAGAGCACTCAGGGGTGGTTAAAGGACCCTTCTGTCCCCACTGTGCTGCAGGCTTGGTGCTGCACAGTCCAAAACCACATCTTATGGCTGAAGAAGCCTCTTCTCCAAAGATGCCCAACAAAAGGAATCTTCTATTTCCTGGCCACATGCCCACTCTGGGCTGATGAAAGCTTTGCACTCAGGAATAAGGATAAAGGTTCCATTCCTTGTTCAGTAAGTGTAAAATCAGTGTGGAATCTGAATGTATTACCTAAAAACTGAATAGAAAATAAATCTAGAACCAAAAGCATGGTGATAGAAATTTTGGATCTAAAACCAGCCTGACTTTATACTAATACAGATTTTTTTTCCCTCTGGCTGTGCACATAAAGTTGACACCAATTAATTGGTATCATCAATGGGTATCATCTATTTACAACATCAGAGTAACTACAGAATTGATTATTCTAGATTTATTGAACAGTAACTATTTACCCAGTTTTGGATTTTCACAATGCTTAATTTATGTAGACTGCTAGCATGCACACTAATTCTAATTTGGTGTGATTTTATAGTTATTCATAGTATGGAAAAACATAAACTGCAAACATTTGGACAATGCTAAAATTCATCTTCCTCACACAGCCAAACCAATAGCAGCTTCTGCAAACGAAACATCATATATTTAAAACTTTTCACTTTATTAACAATAAATTATCTGTGGCATCACCAATCAACAAAACACTAAAGAGACAGTGAGCAGATTGTCTGTATAACGATCAGAAAGGCAACATTATCAGTACCTTCATAAAAACTGGAGAAATGCCAATGAACTTATATACATGTACCACTTGCAACCATATGAACACTGAGCAGAAGAAATATATTTGTAAGTTTCTCCAGTTTTTCTGTTAAGTAAGGCAGTAATAAAAAGCACAGCATCACAATTAAGTACAACTCTAGGTACTGAGCCCTGGCATAATGCAGTGCTCAGAGGAATGTGCAAAATAAACACCTGGATTTGCACTTTGATTCTTTGTTGTGTAAAATTAAGAAACAACACAAAGTCACAACTCTTCTTGATTCCATTGTCCAGGAAAACAAAAGCAAAGCTGGAGAATCCAGACTGACAAAGATGTTCTCTCTCAGCCTGTAGTACCATTTGGAATATCTTGAGCATCAGCTAAATGTAGCTTTTGGCTGAAGCAAATCATTAAGAAATAACACTTGCACATACATATAAGGCATGAACAAGACAGCAACAACAGAAATAACCAGAGTGCAGAGCAAACTGAGTGCTACACTCCTCCACTGCCATCCTGGCTTATCAAAAGCACAGGGTGAAAGACAAGCTGAGACATTCGGCTTTATCTCCTCTGTGGGCTAAGAGCACACATCTGTCCAGTTCCTAAGCTCTGCTGAAGTACCTGACCCCAGAAATAAAAAATCAGGTCAGCTCACTCTCCATGGTCAAGCAGTGATAAACAACCACACACCTTTCTAGAAAAAAAATGAAAAGGTAATAGAATTCACTTATCAGTGGGACAGATGCCTCTGAATATTGCTGAAGGAATATTACTATGGATGTTTGTTCCAGAATGTCTCAATAAGATGGATGCAGAAAGAGCCTGCTGCTGATGGGTTTTGCCACTGACAACACACTATGGTACACAAGTAGAACATGGTAGCTAAATAAATCACCAGGTGAAAGAAACAACCTATAATTACATGTGTTAAGATACAGTCACTTATGTATTGGAAGAACCTAAAAATTGATGCTGTATTATAGTACTAATTTGAAAGCACAGCATCACAATTAACTACAACTCTAGGTACTGAGCCCTGCAGTGCTCAGAGGACTGTGGAAAATAAACACCTGGATTTGCACTTTGATTCTGTGTAAAATTAAAAAACAACACAAAGCATTATCAAAGGAATCTGACTCTTGTAAAGGCATCAGTTACTAGGGAAGCACACTGCAATTTGACTACAGTTAGTAATTATAATGCAAAACAAACATTTTAGGAAAAGGATACATAGATGAATTTAGTTCTTCTAGCTGCAAGAGAAATGTAGAAATTATGAGAAATGGCACTTCAGTTAGTCAAAGAAATGCAGCAATTATGCTGGTATGCTGAAATGAACACATTAAAATAATGAAGGATATAACTAACAGTTTGGGCCGAAATGTATGATTTCTTACAAAAATCAAACCTACACTGAATTCCATACAATGAGCTAAGTTCCAAATTAAGTTTGGAAATTTTGGAAATTAAGTTTCCCAATGTGCTGATCTCAAGAAATTTAAAGAAATTTTAACAATTCTGGTTTTTATGGAAATACACTAGACAAAGTGTAGAATGTACAGATCTGTATTCTTTGTTATGTGTCACCTTCCCCAGATGTGGGAGGATGGACTGCAGGGAAAGTGGTCGCAGTTCCCTAGTACATGGGCTGTCCCTAAGCAGGCTGACAGGCTCAGGCAGCTTGCAGCCAGCCTGCTCCCCTCCTCAAAGCAACCAGCAGCTGTAACAAATGAAAACAACTCCTGTGTTCTCTCAGAACCCAGAGGAGGGCAGGACACACCTTGGTTCGTTGAAAAGCTACGTTCTCCTCAACTGTAAATCACTGTGCACACAGGGGCGGTGTTTTCCTGAACCAAGCTTTGCTGTGGGCTAAGCTCCATGATTTCTGCCTTCCCAGTACTTACATCTGACAGCAGTCTATCCAGGTTGGAATCACTGGCCAGTTTTCTTTTGTCTTCAGGGAGTTCTTCCATCTCCCCATAGAGCTCCAGATTGAGGCGAGCAAGTTTCTCCTGCATACTCCGCACGTGCTCCATCTGCTCTATGGAACATTCATTTCCTAAAACAGCAAGTAAAAACTTTATATAAAGAAACCCAAGAGCAAAAATGAAGATATGAAGATGCAACTTTTTACATCAGAGAAGAGAAATGCAGCTTTCTACATTAGAGAATTTAAACATCAATTTTACAAGTACATTTGCTTTCTTGGTGGTTTCACTGTTGAAGTTTCTGTCATCCCATTTGTTGCTGTGTTGTGCTGAATTTACAGTAGCTATCCAATGTTCTCAGAGTTTTTTAGAATGCATGTGGTTTTTCTATACTCTTGAGTTTTTCTCTGATTCAGAAAGGCCCTGTATTTTAACTTAAAATTCAGTCAAAAAAAAAGTTTTTTCCAATTCTGATTTCTCTAAGGGTTGCTTTCTTGAAACAGATGGTTGATATAATAGAAACTTTTCAGGTTCTTTTGTAAAATCAGTGTGGAATTGACATGTTTACCTAACACTAAACTTGCAAAAGTACACATGCATTTTTCTACTTAGTACAAGGGAGAAAAGAATGCAAAAATGTGCAATATTTCTTCTAAAACCTCCATCAACTCTGAGACTATAAAAATACTAAGAAGCTAAGACAGAAGAGTAACCTGGGTAAAATGCAGCTTGCATTGAATTTCATAAAAGTTGTTACCAATAGTCTTAAATGTTCATATGCAACAAAACTGGGTGCTAAACACAGTTACTTCTTCCTACCTAAATAAGTGATTTTAAACTTGGTATCTTTAGGAAAGGTGGAAGGGATAATGGAATGGCATATGAATAATCTCACAACACAGACAACGTTACAACGCGACTGCAATTTGAAAATGCAGTAAGATGTATTAATTATGTGGATTTCATGTGGCAGTCTGTCCATGCAGCACACTTGTTTGCAAATGTTACCACTGTACAGCTATAAAAAACAACTGTTGTACACACACAATTCATGCACTTACCAAATGCCTGAAGTTTGCCAGAGTGGAAGTCATTCAAGAGACTCAGAAGTCCCCTTTCCATTTCCTGGACATCTGATACATCTGTGAGAAAAGAATGCTGGATTGGTGCTGCCTGTGCCCCTTTTGCTTCAGCTCCTGGAGGTTTGGCTTTCTCTTTGATTACGCTAAAAAAAAAATAATTGAACAAAACAAATATTACTTCCTGCTTTCAGTTTCACTGTAAATTTGAAATGTAAGCAAGTGTACATCTGAGCTTTGAAAATTAAATGAGAAATACATAGTGCATATTTCAGTCACTGCTTTTAAGATAAACACTGGACCTCCAGCTTGTCTGACAAATAAAGAACAACACTATCTCAGCATTTTGATACTGCAAAATGAAGGGTTCCACCAGTCTGCTTGGACCACACATCTGTGATGGCCATCTCAGTAACCTAAAGTGGGCCAGCACTACCCAGCAGTGACAACAGGGCATTAGCACACAGAAGACCTCTAAGATCATCAAGTCCAACCATTAACCCAGCACAGCCATGTTCACCACTAACCCACATCCTCAAGCACCACATTCATGATTTTTTAACATTTCCAGGGATGGTGATTCCACCACTTCCCCAGGCAGACATGATCTACATAAAATCACCCAAAAAGCATCTGCAAGTCAGAGAGAACCCCCCCCAAAAATCATACTGTCCTCTTATCACAAACATCTGTAGACTCCAACCCCTGTGGAAAACAGCTGGTTATAAGCTTTGGAAGGTGACTTTGCCTCCACATAAATTTTCCTAGAGTTCTTTCTTTCAACCCACAAATAACATCCCAGTTTTGTAAATCTCACCATCAAAACCACTCTCCCACTACTCTAATGTACCAAATGAAACTAGTCCATGCCCAAACATCAAACTGCTAAAAATACTCTACAACCCTTCCTGCAAGAAAATCATCCAAATCCCTGCATCCCATACACTTCTCTCTAGACACAGCATTTATTCAGAGCACCAAATGCCCACAGGAACTACATGGATGAAAATTAAAAACCATGTTAAATCCCTGTGAACAACCAATATGGAAACTGAACAGCTACCAGTGGGAAGCAGCATGTTCCATCTCTGACCCAGAGACAGACAGACAGACAGACAGGCTGCATCCTAACACAGTTTAGGTAGGAGACTGTCCTGCAGCCTTGTGATGAATCTGTTCAGAACCTGATCCAGTGAAAAAATCTGAGCCTAAAAATTTTAATTTAGGATACTATGGGATATTAAAAAAAAGTTGCAGACTTAAAAAAGAGGCTCTATTTAATTAGTGAAGATAATGGGGTTTAAAGCACGGTAAGGCCTATCCTTCCCATGCTCTGCAAATTCTCTCTGTCTTATGGGAAATAATAATTCCTTGCCCAGCCCAAGAGCTTCTGTAGTCTATAAAACATCATATAGACTATATGCTATAGAAACAACCAGCAGTCCAACAATCACCATATCCAGTTCAACTCAGAGCAACTCAGTTTAGGTTCTGCTTCAGTTTCTGACTTAATGGTTTGTACTACAGACAGGTCATCCATTTTTCTACCCAATTCTGATGTGTAATAAAATAAACTATTAGTCTTTGAGAACTTACTTCATTGGATTCTTGCAGTAAAGTGAAAATTAATTAAATACTCTTGCTCCATTATCACAGCAGCAGTTCATCCTCACATTATTATGTCAATTACCTCTCCTGCTTGATAAGTTCAAACAATTATCTGTATTAGCACTGCTTGGTAAGTTTAACAATTGTGCAAGAATGGCCAGAACTTAGAGCAAAAAGGACATTTTCTTCTCTACACAATCTTTTGGACTGCAAGAAATTAATTTCTAGTAAATCCCAGGATAATATTGAGACTTGAGTAGACTGTTCAGTCAACTGCAGAAGCCACCAATTTACAGCACATTAGTATCTACTAATATTTCCCTCTAAGTATTAACACAGTTTTCCTGAAAAATAACGTATAGACTTTGCATTGCAGAAATCAATTATTTATCAGGCCAATACTGCATCCTTCAAACAGACTCTCTGTGCTGATGCTGACAGTTCTGTATTTAATCTTCAGCTAAAACTCAGAGGTCAGTAAATTTTCTGCTGCCTCTCCCCAGCTAACATTTCCCTTTAAAATTCCTCTTCCTTTATTTATCTACTGTGTCTGCCACAGCCAAAAAACTCATTTTCTAGCATGCAGGTAAATTAATGTTCTCAAACTGAAACCAACTTATCATCAAAAAACCACAAACTATTCTGATGTGGTACTTTCTGAAGAACTGAATGTCTCTCTTTATGCAAGACACTCCCCCAGCTGAGAGGTCTCCAGTCACAAAACACCTGGAAATTCCAGTTCTAGCTCATCCTGTTCAATTTATGTCCTTCATTTCCTGCCACAGTTGTCAGTTCCAACCTTGCAGCCATGTAATATTTCATTTGTTCCTCACAGCTGTACATCTGGGGCTCTACTATTCCCCATATGATGCCCAAATCTGATCACCCAACTTCATGTCTTTCACCAGGCACATCAGGCTATACCCTGCTTCAGCTAAACTGCTGTTGGTATGAGTTTAGAGCATTGTGTAACATTCCAGTAAGTTTACAAAAAAAGTGTAAAACACCTTCCTTTGCTATAAAATAACCACTATATTGCATTAAAAATAAATCATGTTGCTAAAAAAGACACATCATCAAAACTGCACAAGCCTGAAGCTCTTCTGTCACAGCCAGTCTAAACAATCCTTAAACTGTAGCAGCATTGCCAAGTTCCTGGCTCTCACTGCCTCTAGGTCTGCAAATGGCCCGAGCTTACCGTTTTAACTTTGGTTTTTGTACAGCAGGCTGTGGGGCAGGGTTGGAGAAGGCTGTACTTTTACTGACTGGCACTGAGCTCTTCTTGGAGTTAGCAACCTGAGCAGAGTGACTGGAAGATGATTTGGGGCTCCTCCTCTTGATCTTCCTTTCTTCCATTTCTTCCAATTTACTACATCTAGACTAATGTCTTCATAGGGAAGAAAAGAAAGTGAGAAAAAATCCATTAAAACTGGCATTCACAATAAAAACAAGTAGAACGACAGCTCGTGGAAATGAAACTGGTAGTTCCTTCAGAGATGAGCAGTCACTCATGTCTGAGAGCAGGAGAACCCAGTTCCCAGGAGAAGCTGCCCGGCCTGCTCGATGAGCTGAAGGGGCAGGACCTAAACCCTCCCTGCGCCAACAGGTACCTCCAAACGATCTCAATGTGCCGTGGGTTACGCCTAGGGAACACCGCGAGTGCTCGGGCCCACGGCAGGCAGAACACCGACAAGAGCTGCGGCACGGGAATGCCGCGACCCACCCGTGCCACAGCACCGCCTCTGCTGAGGGAAACTCAGCCGGTGCCGGCTCGTTGCTGCTGTGACGCAGCTGCTGCCCCACACCTGCTATTGCTGTCACACACCGCCGTGACACGCTCATTGTTATTATGGATTGCTATCACTCCCACACGGACGGGCCCTGCCCAGCTCCGCACAGCCCACCCGTGTGCCGTTACCGGGCGCTCCCCCGCCGCCTCCTCGCCGGTGACACGCCCCTGACACCCGTTACACCCCGGAGGCGGCCGAGGGCTCCCCGGGCACGGCGACGGCACCCCTGGGCGCCATCGCGGACCCGCCGCTGCCTCCCGGGATGAGGAGACCCCTTTGCGCAGCCCGGGCAGACGCAGCCGCGTACCACCGCTTCATTACCGCGGAGGCTCGGGACGCGGCTGCGCTCCGGGAGCAGCGGGAAGCGGACTGAGCCGGGAGCCCGGAGCCCGGAGCCCGGAGCCCCGAGCCCCGAGCCCCGAGCCCCGAGCCCCGAGCCCCGAGCCCCCAGCCCCCAGCCCCCAGCCCCCAGCCCCCAGCCCCTCGCCCTGCGCCCCCGGCCCCGCCCCCTACCTGAGGGAAGCCCCGCCCCCAGAGCGCGCGCGGAGCCCCGCGGAAGCAGCCGGCTCGTCCCGGCGCGCGGATCACGTGATTACGGGGCGGCCCGGCGGCGGCGCCGCGAGGTGCATTGTGGGAGTCCCGCCCCAAGGCACCACCTCCCCCGCCAGCGGACTACAACTCCCAGAACCCTCCCCGGCGTGGGGCGGGGCTGCCTGTCGGTGTTCAGTGGCCGTCACGGCCGAGGGCTTCTCCCGAAATATTTGATCCAAGTCTACGCATGTTAAAACACGCTGGCAAAAAACACCGCACTGCCGACCTGGTCCTTTTCCCTGCTGACGCCGTGAGGTAGCGCTCTGCCTTCTCCTCTGCCTGTAATTACACCCCAGCCGCAACCTGCTCTATACTGAATCGGCCTCAGCTGCTTTTGGTCTTTAGGGCTTCACTGAGCACCGGGCACCTCAAATTAATGATTTACACGGTACGGAAAATCACAGAGTCATTAGGGTTGGAAGGCAGGGTCTCCTAGAGCAGGTGACACAGGAACGCGTCCGGGTGCGGTTTGAGGTCTCCAGAGAGACTCTGCGACCTCCCCGGGCAGCGGGTTCAGTGCTCTGCTGCCCTCGGTGTTAGGAAGCTCTGCCTCGTGTTGAGGCGAAACTTCTTGTTTGACTTTGTGGAGCCCCAGTCAGGGGCCTGACTCATTTGTAGCCTTTATTACCTGTGTTTATTAGCAAAAGTTTACAGCCGGCTGAACGGCGCTTATACAGGCGGCAGCTGAGCCCGCCGGGAAATGATCCTCGGGTGTTCCAAGGCATCGCTATCCGCAGATGGGGTCAGCAGTAGGAATTCTCCCCAGGAGGACATGCTGGAAGAACTCAGTGTATTCACATGGAGCTATGTGGGCTAGGAATGCTGCCGGTGGAGGAGCAAGTTCCAGACGACAAGAGGACATAGTATTAAATTGAGCCAGGGCAAGTTTAGGTTTGACATTAGGACGAATTTCTTCACGGAAAGGGTGACTAGACATTGGAATGGGCTGCCCTGGAAGGCGCTGGAGTCACCGTCCCGGGGGGTTGTTCAGGCGAGACGGGCTGGGGCACTGAGTGCCGTGGTGTGGTTGAGGAGGCGGTGCTCGGTCACAGGCTGAACTCGCTGATCTCAGAGGTGTTTCCCAACCTCATTGTTTCCGTGCTCCCGTAGCCCTGGAGGGTGGAGCTGGGAGGGGAGCGGAGCGGTCGGCAGAGAGCCCATATGCCCCCCGGCGGCAGCGCGGGCCGTGCCCGGGCCTCTCGGGGCCGTGCCCGGGGCGCTCGGAGCCGTGCCGGTGTCACCCGCAGGGACAGGCGGGACGGCCCCGGCAGTGCCGGTCCCCGCCCGCAGGGGGCAGCGCCCCCCGCGCTCCCGCCGCCGCTCCGGTCCCGCTCCCGGCTCTGCCTACCGCGGCACCGCGGGAGGAACGGGTGTCATGGACAAGGGGGAACCCATCCTCGTCCCCGCGACAGATGTGACCGGAACGGCTGTCGTCCCAGATAAACCCTGCTGCCGCGCTGAGTTGATGCAGCTCTCAGTGTCATTTCCGACCTGGATTTCAGTCCTGAGCCGTTGGCGGGCAGGAGCTTAATTTTCAAGGCAGGCCGTGTAATTAGCAGGGTGTGCCTACCCAGCCTGGGTAATGAACGAGCTCAGCCCCACCAAGTCTATTTCCTGGTGCTGTCGGTATTGCGTTTCTGGTCATCGCTTCTCACCTCAGTGCTCCCTGCCGGTCGTGGCTTTGTGGACTTGAATGGTCGGCGCACCTTTCCAACCCATGGCTGATAGCCTGAGCTGTTTTCCCCACGTGACAGTAGTTTGTGGCCTAGAGAAATGAGCTTATCAGCTATCTCTACAACTTGTCAGCTTGAATTTCTCAAACCTGCAACGAGATCTTATTTTTGACTTGAGAAGCCTGTTGTTCATCACGGTATGTTTTGTGATGAAAACTCTCAGGCATCATTCACACACCACCTGTGAGGGGTGCTATAATCTGCATCAACCACAGTGAAAAAACATTGACCAGAAGCTTTACCGGTGTTGGCAAGTATGGAGCTACCTCATGACTTAACAGGAGTGCAGCACCTAGAATGCATCCCTGTCTCTGTCTAAACTATCCATGATACCAGGAGAATTATTCTCCAGTCATACCCTGATACTGAACCTTTTTATGGACCTTGAATTAGACCTGAGGAGCTATTAAATAGCAGTGTCTCATTGAGACTTGGATGGTCTCACAGCTGTGAGACCTGGAGACCCAAAAGCGGAGATTGTCTGTCAAAAGGAGATTGCATTTGGAGTGGTTCCCAGATGAATTACAGGGACAAAATGTCCACTGAAGGTCACCCTGTAGTCAAAGTAATTCCTTCAGCAGGACACAGTTTGGGTCTGAGGAGCTGGATCAGTTCTGATACATTATGACCAGTGTTGTTGCAAGAGGTGTGTGATATACTACTGATACACTGACAGCTCACTTGTGGGAATAAACAACCTGAGGGTGTTTGCTTGTGAGCAACTAAGAAAGAAATTTATCTCTGTGAGGCTGGAGATGCATTACACCAAAAGGCAGTGGTACAAGACTTCAGAGACAGGTAGGGAAGCTGAAACAGTTGATTCTGTAATACAAAGGGCTTCTGATATCTGGTTTGGCATGCGTTACAGGGAAACAAGAGCTAGCAAAAGTCACACGGGCTGTGAGCCAGACACAAATCCTCAGTCACAGGGCTGCCCAAACAGAACCCTCATTTGCACACATACATATATGGGTATGCATAAATATATAGGGGGCTACAAAAAGCGGACAAATTGAGACTTACAGGAAGATTTCTGCAACCATTTGGGAAATTTGTATGAGATAAATACTGCTTCTCCACAGTAATGGAGAAATGTTGGGAATGTTTGTGTTCATGCAGCTCATTTCTCACTTGCTATATGAGCCACTAAATGTACCTGCCATGCAGTTGGTATATAGAGGTGTGGTTTGTTTTCCCCGTGTGATTAAAGGTGTTCTGTTTGGATGGAAGGTGGCTGGGTGTCCTTTGTTTCCACCACAGCCGTTGAAACAGAATGACTGATGGTCTGCTTTTAAATAAAAGGGAAATGTTTCTATCACTAAGCATTTTTAAAATAAAATTGCTTTCATATTCAGCAAGCAGTTGGATTCCACAGTTAACTCTGCTTCAGTTCAGTGTCTCAGTAGGAGGGAACAAATACTGCAGAGAGAACAATAAATTTTAGCAAGCAGGAAATATTTTGCTCCAAGTGAATTACTTATCCCTGCACACTACACCACATTAGAATTATTATTAAGGTGCCTCTGTTATTTTTATATCTGATTTAACAAAAGCCTACAGGGCAGATAATTGGAAAGCATCAGATTTTATGTTTTCATAGAGAAAGTAATTCAATAGTGAATAATTAATTTCTTTTAAAAGAAAATAGTAAGTTAAGAGCAGAGAATTAAAGGTAGTATGGTCTTGATTTGTTACTAGAAATCATGTTGCAGATAACACTAGAATCAAAGTTTGAGGGAGAAAAAAGGCATGTTAGGACTATCTCTATCTGAGATTTTGCATAATTTTGTATTGTGATAATGATTCATGGTCCAGAAAAGGCTTTTTTCTTCCTTTGAAAGACTGCTTCTTTTTTTCTGACAACTCCACCATGTGTTACAGTGATACCATTATAATTGTTGACTGAAATGCTCCAAGGGTAACAGTGTTTTAATGGCAACAATGTTATTGTTAAGGCAGCAAATTAAAAACTTAATTGACTCTGATTTTATTTACATGTATATCTCCTTACAAACCAGAAGCCCACCTTTGAAGATGCTTTGAAGAAGAACTTCAAAGAAGTTAAGTCTGTACTTTATATTGAGATATGCATGCAAATAAAATCAGATTCCTCTTTCTGAAAACCCTATTCAGTTAACATGAGATGGCAAGTCGGTTCTAAAGGCTTCCAAGGCAGTGATGAAAGCACTGGGTTCTTTAGCTTCTATAATTAATTTCAGATGTATTTCACAGGTTGGCACCTTGTACTCATGGAATCCTGACATTGCTGTAGCATCACTTTCCAGAAAAGAGCATGGTCTGGGACAAATCTGCCCATAGGAAGGAAAGTACTTATTGCTGATTTGTGAGGAGCAGCATAACAAGGGGTATATGTATCTATCAGCCAGATAAACATGCAGAACAAAGCAGCAAAGTTGAAATTATACATTTAACTAATTACCACTGGAATAATATGAATGTAGAATTGCGTGGGTTAGACACATGTACTCTTTACAGATTGGTGATGGATATGCTCTCATAAATGTGACTGAAAATATGTCAATATGTATGCTTATGTTGATGTCTCTCTCCCCACACAATCATTATGCTAAGGGATATGATCATATATAAGATCATATAAATAATTCAATTTATGTGTTATTATTGATCAGTTTCCACATCTCTAGCATGAATAGTCCATTGAAATCAGTACTGTTACACAAGAACAAGCAGTTTAGAACCTCCACCAGTATTGTGTGCTTATGAAGTGTTCTGATTGCAAAAAATCAATACTTGATTGGCTGCCAAGACATTAAATACCTGCTTAAGAACTAATAAATCTTGTACCTGAATGTGGATGAGGAATGAAGGACCTCCTTGGGCCAGCAGTGTGGTGATTCAGGCACTCAGGACATAGTGACGAGGCAGGAAGGGGGGGAGAACACAAGGAACTTGCTGAATCCCTTGGAAAGCAGCACTCACCCCAAGAACTAGGCCTCTAAGGGCCAAATGTCCCTGGACAGCCCCACCTGTCCCCCACCTGACTGCCCAGGAGTCCAGGAGCCCCAGCTCCTCCCCATCAGCTCGGCCCAGGGACTTCAGTTCCTGCC